GTCTATTATATATACATTAACACAGGCTCTAATTTGGGACCAGGGGAAATCTCTCTTATATCCGGGTTTCTCTTAAATCCGTGTCTCTTATATCCGGGTTACACTGTACATTTTTTTGTATAAGAACTTGCTGTCATGAAGACAAATGTTTACCTAGAAAAGCTCATTTGGCTCATTTTTTAATACCCTTGTGAAAATTACGAATCCATCTCTTCCCCATCTATGGGTTAAATAGTAGGGCAAACTATACTCTTCACACTTCCGTGGCAACCAGTCTGAAAGAAGGAAAACTCTAAAATGCAAATTCGGGTAGATTGAAATCGTTAGTGGATAGATACGAAGTCTATTAAGGGAAGGAAAACTAAAACTATTCCTTTCTCAGTTTACTCAGTTTGGGGTGACGCCAATCACCCACATTCCAAAATTAAACCATCAATCCTTCGGAAATTACTATTTAATTGTACAACTAAATCTCTCTTCTAAGGGAGATATCTACATTCTCGTTCCCGCCTTCTCTAAATATTATATGGCACAAGTCGAAAATTATGTTTTCAAAACGGGAAACCACAAATATTCGCAAGATACGTTGAAGGCATTTTATACTAGTAGGAAATAGTAATTACAAACCCAAGATCAACTTTTGAATAAACAAAAGACATATTGCAGTAAAATTCACATGTGGTTTCAGTAGTCTTAATAAAATCTCATTATTCGACGTTTATACAGAACTCAACGGCAAAAATATTGCGTCATCCGTGATTGCATCAGATTTTTATCACGCGCTTACACTATTCTCTCGATTGTCAATTACTTATCCTACGGCCATTGTCTGCGATGCACATCACTCCAAGGAGGCTTACTAAAATTGTAACGCTGTACGAACACACTGGCAAGCCTTACCAGTGAGCAAATCAAAGTACTATAGACTGGCCCGGAAACTTTCCTGATTAAAATCCAATCGAGAATATGGAGTTAATCTTCAAGGAGTGACTTCGAGGAATGGACAAATGAAGCACTAACATGTGCACTGGGTCATATTTTATTGGAAAATACGAAAAAGGAGTAAATGATAACGTAATTATTCGTTTTGTATTGATTATTTTACACAAGGGCGCAAAGCCAATATTGCTTAATAATAATTATCCAACTACATTATTAATAACCAGATAAAATTATTTCTACAATTATTAAGCAGCACCAGCACTAAAGATATAGTACAAAACCATGGGTTAAATAGTAAGGCAACTATTGCTATCGCCAAAAATTCCTTATAATTTAAAGATATTTTGTGGTTTTAAATAACAAGCAAAGGATGTCATGACTTGCTAAGGGCGTCTGTTATAATAACGACAACACGGTTTAGTCCGGTTACTTCTCAACCGGCAGAAATGATAATCCTGCTTTTTATTCACACATAGAAATATGGCCGACACGGTACTTGCGTTTCCACTATTGACATTGCTCGGACAATTGTTCTTATCTTTATTCACATTTCGGCCATGGTACGCTCCGGCCTTCTTCAGTGGGTTGAAGCAATCCAGTGGCTTGACCCAAAGAGTTGTAAGTTCAATACCTGCCCACAACAGAGTTGAACAAAACTGGGAATGTGTCTTACTAAAGAGAAAATAACTGAAACTGAAATATCCGGAAGAGGCATGTCACGTGGAATTAGAACAATCTACCCCGTTGTTTGAAATAAAGGGTTCAGTTCGTAATTCACCTATAGAAGGCCGGAGCGTACAACGGCCGAAACGTCGTGAATATGAGAATAAAGGTGCGGACAATAGTCCGAGCAATGTAAATAGTGTAGTTACAATATCTAATCTACGAACGATATGGTTTTTACGTGTCAGAACAATGGCTGAAACGGTGCTTCTGTTTCCTTAGATCCCAGTTACAAAAGGGTCGATAAAACCTAGAAAACGAATCAATCAATCAAAATCTACTAACGTTGAATATCATGTACAAGCATCTCTTTCAAAAACTAATTAGATATACGTCGACAACTATGAGTAGAAGGATGCCAAACCACTTAAGTGATATCAATACCATACCAATCTTGACCCCTACAGAAATTTGGAAGGGAAAACTCTTGTTGAAAAAGCTATCATTGCAAAGAAAGCTAACTGTTCACGGTGTTTGAAGATTGTGAAATGATTTTACATAAAACAATTCAAGACAAAACTGAATTTCCGCAGTAAGTTGTGGTTCGTTTTTTAAAAGTCATCCTAACATTTCCATACAATACAATGTAGAGCTCAAACATTGAAAACGTATTAACAAACAAAGTCCGTCTAAACGGTTAATGAATTCGGTGAAAACGCTTGGCACAATAATCATTATAACAGCCTGCTAGAACTCGCAAAAAGACATCGTTAAGAATATTAGAACAATATCAGGAAAAAAACATCAAATTTTCCTTGTATTTCCCATTCATTGAAACATCTATTTATTGTCTGCGAAATTCTTTGGTGCCTAAAAAAATCGTTTATCGCAAGTTCAAAAATAGATTTTGCAAAATTTTGTTATTAAATAGAGAGAATGATTTATTAACCCGAATGAGTCAGTAGGAACCGTCATTTACGCTGACGTGCCTTACCGTCTCGGCAACAAAGGAGCGTTCGGTAGGCAAGGTCGAATTTACTGCTTATAAACTTCAATCTTCCATGAATCTCGTATAGGATGCAGGTTCGAATCCTGTCAAAGGACGAATATTTTCTATGAAAATTTCTCGGACATTCAGGCCGGTAAATGTTATTTAATACTGTTTATTATAAACAGAGCATTTACTTAAATACTTGTATCTATAAAAAAGAACGTTAAACATAAAAATGTCTTTAATAAATAAATTGTCGGACTTTGTCCATTTCTTAATATATATATATATGTGTGTGTGTGTGTGCAAATATATGGAAAAATAGAAAAGAACACGTTACGGTAATAATCCTAAATTATTTAGTATTTTTTTTTATTTAAAAAAAAACAGTGCTCTGTACATAAGTAGAGCCTAAATTATTATTATTTTTTAGAAATATGATTCCATCGCTACATAAGAGTTTTCATGTTTCATAAACATGCACTAAAAGATGAAACAAAGCTTGATACTTTAATTCAATTTATTTTTTATAATTAAACTGAAGTTTTTAGCTCCTATTTTTGAAACATGAGAACTCTTATGTAGCGATGGAATGATATTAAAAAAAAAATTACCAGTCGTTGAGTTTTTTCAATCTTTTATATATATTTTAATACATTTTTATGTTTAACATTTTTTTTATAGATACGAATATTTAAGTAAATGCTCTGTTTATAATATACAGTATTAAACAACATTTACCGACAAGAATGTCCGAGAAAGTTCCATAGAAAATATTCGTCCTCCGAGAGGATTCGAAT